GTTTTAAACACCAGAGGCTCAGCCTCAAAACTCAAGTCTACATGTCACCACAGTAGGACAAACCGACAGACAAGTTTGTCTTGCTGTTGGAGACCTCTCGTATCACCCCCACCTGGGTCCCTGTGGCTGACTGTACCTCTGTCTGGCTTCCTGGCTTTTAATCCCATTTCTCCTGCTTTTCTGCTCTGCTGTTTTGTGCGTCCCTGAGTTGTCCCTGGGGCTGACTGCTCCTCTGTCCGGGATCCGGGGTTTTATCCCCTTTCTCCTGCTCTCTGGTCCTGCTGCTTTGGGTGGGCCTGAGTTTCCTCTCCTCAACTAATCCCTTTAGCTGATTGCTCTTCTCTCAGGCTTCCTGGCTTTTAATTCCCTTTCTCCTGCTCTTCCCACTGGCTACTTTGGGCGTCACTGAGTTGTCTCTCCTCACCTGTAACCCTGGGGCTGACTGCTCTTCTGTCCGCGTTCCTGGCTTTTATCCCCCATCTCCTGCTCTTCCGGCCTGCTGCTCTGGGCGGGCCTGAGCTTCCTCTCCTCACCTAATCCCTTCAGCTGACTGCTCTTCTCTCTGGCTTCCTGGCTTTTAATCCCCTTTCTCTTGCTCTTCCCGCTTGCTACTTAGGGTGTCCCTGAGTTGTTTCTCCTCACCTGTAACCCTGGGGCTGACTGCTCTTCTGTCCAGGTTCCTGGCTCTTTATCCCCTTTCTCCTGCTCTTCCCGCTTGCTACTTCAGTCTAGGGGGCTTTAAAGATAGTCTGTCCATCATGCTGTAGGAATATAGAGGAGGAAGCCATTTAGTGCCAGGGACATTGGGGAGAGGCTTACAGTGAAGGTGACATTTAATGTAGGTAAGTAGGTAGCTTACTGAGGAGACTTCTTTGGGGGTAGGATCAGCACCTTATACTTACTATGACCCAGTGGGATGAAACAGTACTGATTATATAGTTTCTATTTAATAAGGATGTACTTAGAAATTGAACAATCTCCTGATTCTGTTATCAAAGTTTAACGTTAAAGGCCACTGAACAGTGTAATGACTATATTATATATCCTCTCGTAGGTGAGTGTGACAGGAAATGAACTTTACCTTATGACTTCACATTTGGAGAGCACCAAAGGGCACGCTGAGGAACGAATCAATCAGTTAAAAGTGGTTCTGAAGAAAATGCAGGAGGCACCAGAGTCAGCTACAGCTATATTTGCAGGAGACACAAATTTAAGGGATCAAGAAGTGAGTGACAAAGTTCAATGAAGATTATTGCTGTGGAGACTGATTTTGGTTCCTTTGACCAGAACTATTAAATCTAGGACCTTTGTTTATTCAAAATGTATAATTGACCTTGAAAATGCAATTCAGCAGATATTTATTTAATCTGTGCTATGGGCCCAGTCCACCACTCGTCTGTCAGTTTGTCGTATTATGATGACTTGTATGTTGGCTGTGAAGCTGGAAGCTATGCCACTGGTATTTGAAATACCAGCAGGGTCACCCGTAGTGGGCAGGTTTCAGCGGAGCTTCCAGACTAAGATAGACTTAGAAGAAGGAGGAGGCCATCCAATTCTCAAACAATTGACCAGTGAAAACCTTATGAATAGCAGTGAAACAATGATAAATTACTGGAAAACTTTATGAATAGCCCTGAAACATTGTCTGATACAAGACCTGAAGATGAGCCCCTCAGGTTGAAAGGCACTCAAAATATGACCGGAGAAGAGCTGCCTCCTCAGAGTAGAGCCAACCTTAATGATGTGGATGGAGTAAAGCTTTTGCAACCTCCATTTGTTAATGTGGCATGACTCAAAATGGGAAGAAACAGCTGCAAACATCCACTGATAATCAGAAGATAGAATGTACAAAGTACGAATCTAGGAAAATTGGAAGCTGTCAAAAATGAAATGGAATGCTTAGGGATTGATGTCCTAGACATTAGTGAGCTAAAATGGACTGGTTTTGGCCATTTTGAATCAGACAACCATATGATCTATTATGCTGGGAATGACAAAGAGGAATGGCATGGCATTCATCATCACAAAGAATGTTTCAAGATCTATCATAAAGCACAGTGCTGTCAGTGATAGGATAATATCTATACGCCTACAAGGACGACCAGTTAGTATTAGTACTATTCAAATTTAGACAACTACCAAAGCCAAAGACAAGGAAATTGAAGTTACCCACTTCTGCAGTCTGAAATTGACCAAACATACAGTCAGGATGTGTTGATTATCACTGGTGATTGGAATGCAAAAGTTGGAAAAAGAATCACCAGTAGTTGGAAAATACGGCCTTGGTGATAGAAATGTTGCTGGAGATCACATGATGGAATTTTATGAGACCAACGACTTATTCATCGCAAATACCTTTTTTCAACAACATAAACAGCAGCTATGCACATGGACTTCACCAGATGGAGTACACAGGTTGACTATATCTGTGGAAAGAGGCGATAGAGAAGCTCAATATCTTCAGCCAAAACAAGGCCAGGAACTGACTGTGGAACAGACTTAAAGAAAGCAAAAAAGGTCATTAAGAAGACAGGAAAGGAAGAAAAGACCAAAATGGATGTCAGAAGAGACTCTGAAACTTGCCCTTGGGCAGAGAGCAGCTAAAGCAAATGGAAGAAATGACAGGATAAAAAAAGCTGGACAGAAGATTTCAAAGAGCAGCTCAAGAAGACAGTCAGTTATTATGGAGTGTGCAAAGACCTGGAGTTAGAAAACCAAGAGGGAAGAATATGCTCGGCATTTCTCACACCGAAAGAATTGAAGAAAAAATTCAAGCCTCAAGTTGTAATATTGAACGCTTCTATGGGCAAAATATTGAATGATGCAGGAAACATCAAAAGAAGATGGAAGGAATACATAGAGTCACTGTACCAAAAAGAATTTATCGACGTTCATCCATTTCAGGAGGTGGCATGTGATCAAGAACCAGTGGTAGTGAAGCAAGAAGTCCAAGCTGCACTGAAGGAATTGGCAAAGAACAAGGCTCCAGGAATTGACAGAATACCCATTGAGAAGTTTCAAGAAACAGATGCCACGCTGGGGGCATTAACTTGTCTGTGCCAAGAAATTTGGAAGACAGCTACCTGGCCAACTGACTGGAAGAGATCCATATTTGTACCCATTCCAAAGAAAGGTGATCCAACAGAATATGGAAATTATCGAACAATATCATTACTATCACACAAAAGTAAAATCTTGCTGAAGATAATTCAAAAACAGTTGCAGTAGATATTGACAGAGAACTTCCAGAAATGCAAGCTGGATTCAGAAGAGGACATGGAACAGGAGACATCATTGCTGATGTTAGATGGATCTTGGCTGAAAGCAAAGAATACCAGAAAGATGTTTACTTGTGTTTTATTGACTATGCAAAAGCATTTGATTGCGTGGATCATAACAAATGATGGATAACATTGAGAAGAATCTGAGTTGATTGTGCTCATCAGGAACCTGTGTATGTACCAGGAGGCTGTTGTTCAAACAGAACAAGGGGACACTGCATGGTTTAAAATCAGGAAGGGAGTGTGTCAGGCTTGTGTCTTTTCACCATACTGAATCTGTATTCTGAACAAATAATCCAAGAAGCTGGACTATATGAAGAAGAACGTGGCATCAGGATTGGAGAAAGACTCATTAACAACCTGCGATACACAGACAACTTCGCTTGCTAAAAGTGGGGATGACTTGAAGCACTTAACTGGTGAAGATTAAAGACTTAAGTCTGCAGTGTGGATTACATCTCACCATAAAGAAAATGGAAATACAACTAGACCAATAAGCAACATCACAATAAGTGGAGAAAAGATTGAAGTTGTTAAAGATTTCTATTACTTGGTTCCACAATCAACACCAATGGAAGCAGCAGTGGAGACATCAGACAACATATTGCACTGGGCAAATCTGTTGCAAAAGACCTGTTTAAAATGCTGAAGAGCAAAGATGTTTCCGTGAAGGCTAAGGTGCACCTAACCCAAGCCATGCTATTTTCAGTCACCTCATATGCATGTGAGAACTAAACAATGAACAAGGAAGACTGAAGAAGAGTTGATGCTTTTGAGTTGTGTTTGTAAAGAATACTGAAAGTACTATGAACTGCCAAAAGAACAAACAAATCTGTCCTGGAAGATGTGCAGCCGGAATGCATCTTGAAAGCGAGAATGGCCAAACTTCATCTCACTTACTTTGGTCATGTTGTCAGAAAGGACCAGTCCCTGGAGAAGGATATCATGTTTGGTAAAGTGTAGGGTCAGAGAAAAAGGGGAAGACCCTTAATGAGATGGATGTACACAGTGGCTGCATTGATGGGCTCAACTATAGCAAGGATTGTGAGGATGGCACAGGACCGGGCAGTATTGTGTTGTGTTGTGCACAGGGTCTGTATGAGTTGTGATTGAGTCAACAGCACCTATCAACAACAGTTGTAACTGAGGCAGTGGGTATTCAACTTTCTAAGTTATCTGGCACTCAATGTTAGGAACCTATTTATGGTAAAAGAGGAGGGGCAAATTCCAAACCTCTCTGACTACTTTGATATTTTTATATTGCCTCCTATTTACCAGGCAGCAAAATAATCTTTGTAATATATCTAGTTATTCTGTATTTGTTCATTAATAAATGATTTTTGACATTCTGATTAGAAATGTTGCACTTAGACATGGTAATAGCAAAGATACCTTTTCAAAATAGAGGGAAAAAGACAGAATCTTAGTGTTCTTTGTTTCTCTTTTTCAGGTTATCAAATGTGGTGGTTTACCTGATAACGTTTTAGATGTCTGGGAATTTTTGGGCAAACCTGAGCATTGTCGGTATACATGGGATACACAGATGAACTCTAATCTGGGCATACGCGCTACTTGTAAGCTTCGTTTTGACCGAATATATTTCAGAGTGGCAGCAGAAGGGGACCACATCATTCCCCGAAGTTTGGACCTACTTGGGCTGGACAAACTGGACTGTGGCAGATTTCCTAGTGACCATTGGGGTCTACTGTGCAATTTAGATATAATATTATGAAATGCTTTTCAAATATGAGTTTTAAATGTGCTGTGCAGTTTAGTTACAGATTTTTGCAAAGATAATTTATACCTATCTGGAAAGGTGGATTTATTATGGAAGAGTTGGTATATTAGATCATTGTAACAGGAAAAAATTAAGATTTTGTGGATTGGGTCCTCAGATTTCAGAACTAAATATTAACGTCTGCTTAAAGTAAGGCATGCCCGTTTTCAGAATATGAGGCCTCTTAACGAAGGGACACAAAGCCTATTGGAGCTTTTGGCAGTGCTTATAGACTCATAGATAACATCTGGTTTCCAAGGAGGGACCAGCATTGACTCAGGAGAACTCTACATTGGATTTGTTTTTTTCAATCAGGAACCAAAATAGATAATATTGTAAATAAGTCTTCAAAAAAATAATTTAGTGTCATGAGAAGTTACTGAGTCTTTGGGATTGGGTCTTTTAATTATATTTGGCAAATTTAAACAGCCTTAAAAAGCCATGATCGTCTCTTGATGACAATCCTATGTCAGACTTTATTTCCGTCAGTTCACAGTGCCTAACTGGTAAGTTGTAAATGAAACTTTATGCTTTAAAATTCTTTGTCCTCTTTTATACATAAAAGCAAACTATAGTTAGCTTATTAACATAGGCAAAGTTAGGCTTGAGAATGATTAAAGTCAGGGGCATTAGACTTTTTCTAAGAAAAATGTGTGAAATAGCCTTTTAGCTTGCTACTTGTAAAAATGGAATAATTTTGCAAGAGGTGAATAATGGGTACTTTTAAATTTGCTTTAAAGAACCATTTCCACCAGAGAAATTTACTTTAAATAAAAAATTTTACCTGTTTGTGGCTATTTTAGTAGGTTTTTGTGCCCCTCGGGGCATTAAAACTTTTATCTGCTTCCTGTTTTCTGACTCCACTGCTGCTTTGTGGAAGAAAACAGCTTTCCATGTTGCTTCTAACCATGCCAAGAATTACCAAGAGTATATTGGCTTCCTTATGATAGAAAAAGGAATGCCAGTGGGGATAATTGGAATGAGAAGTGCCAAAATTAACAACTAAAACACCTAAAGGAAACAAGCTAAATTTTTATATGTCACTAAAATTCTTTGTAGTGACAGGTTGAAGGAGTTTTATCTGTTAATCATTGTTTTGATCATTAAAAATAAAAAGTGAAATCTGCTAATACTTTGGTAGCACACATGATGAAGGTAATAAATAAAATACACAGTGGCATATTAGATTGAATAAAGAATTATCAAACTGTTTTATCAACCATGACAGGAATATTCCTTTGTATGACTCACAGCAAGCAAATGATATACCTCTGGTTTACTGCTTATAGTGTTAAAGAAATAATAATTGAAGTGAATATGAACAGTTGAACCACTTTTAGTCTGTTTTCAAGGCAGTAGTTCTCAAACAATTAGTTATTATGAACCGCTAGTTTGCAATGTCGAGTTTTTGGTGGGGATATTTTCTATATATATTTTTTTTAAATTGTGATTTGGGTGAAAGTTTACAGAGCAAATTCATTTTCCATTCACCAGACCATTAACATTTTGTTTGGTGACATTGATTGCAATCCCTATAACATAACAGTTCTCTTCCCACTTCCTCTTTGTGTCCTTTTCTATGCATTCCTGCCCTCTGAGCTATCTCCCTGTGCAAATACTGCCCTTCTGATTTCCATGGTTGCTTGTTCTAAGGAGTATACCTACCTGGTATAAATGTTCCCCTTTTACACCTGGTTTGGCTGGAAGCCACAGGAGTGAGTGCAATTCCAGGCCTGAAAGGTGAGTAGAGGTCATAGTTTTGGTTTCACCAATCTCTATCAGAGCAGTAAGACTGGTCTTTTTTTTTAATGATTTTGAGTTTTGTTCTATACTTTTTTTACTTTGAATCTTAAATTTTTCTAGTAGAGTAGCTTTGCTTACTTACCTTAACTCTTTGGTGAAATTCCTACTCTGACTGAATCTTACACTTAAATAACACTTGGTTCATGCTGAGTACTATCATTTGAATTTAAACATGTAGCCTTGTAGACTAAACAACAGTTTGTACCAACTTCAAAGTAAGAATAGTCCCGATTATTAATCTCCATTTATAATTGAGGAAACAGATTTAGCAGAATTATGTCACTTGTCTAGGGCCCATCCATAACTATTGAGTAAGGGCTTGTTCATTAGGTCTGTGTGACTCAGTCTTAACGTATTGCACTATATGCTTTACAGTCATGGGAACACACTAGAAATGCTCTGGCTTCCTTTTCTGTCTTATGTTAGTGCTTTAACATCTTTGTTATTAGAATACAGTAAACATCCAAGGAAACACAAGTTTTATGATTTATGGTTCAGATCACCACCTTCCCCAAGCTGTGAATGTAATCAGAATACACTAGGCACCTAGTTAACCTGCAAAGCATACAGCTGATCAGCGCCCCTCCCAGCACAGGTTTCCATTGGCATCAGAAGGCAGCATGAATACAAAGTGCATAAACCAAAGCCAAACTCACTGCCATTAAGTAGACTGCAGCTCATAAAGGATGTAAATCTTTATGGAAGCAGACTGCCTCATCTTTCTTCCACAGAGCAGCTGGTGGGTTCATGCCACCAGCCTTTTGGTTAGCAGCCAAATACCGTGCCCACTACACCACGTGGTGCTCAAATAGGAGCCCCTGTGGCAATGGTTAAACACTGGGCTGCTAACTGGAAGGTCGGTGGTTGGAACTCCCACAGCCACGGTAGAAAAGACCTGGTCATCTGCTTCCATAAAGACTTCAGCGTGGGAAACCATATGAGGCAGTTCTACTCTGTCATTCAGGGTCGCAATGAGTCGGAATCCACTCAGTGGCACATAACAAGATTCAAAGAGGCTCCCTCCCGCCAGAGGAGGGGGGACGTGTAGCTGAGGTGATTGAGCCTTAGGGAACACATTCCCAAAGGGTCTTTGAATCAGATAGTGCTCCTAGGCCTGTCTTGAGCCATTCTACCAGGCATTTGGAAGGAGCACTCATCCGCATGTCTGGTCAGCACCATGGTTGTGGGGAAGAAGTTGGTGTAGGAGACGAGCTGGGGACGTGAAGGCTGCCCTCCTTCCAGACAGTCCTGTCTTCCTTTTTGGTCACCTGCGAGGTGGGAATCTTTGGTCAGAGTGCCCATCTTTAGAGCACTGGCTGTGTTGGGTTGGGACTGCTGCGGGCGCCTGTCAGTGACTGGGTGTGTGTGCGCGCGTGCGTAATTGTGGCGGCTGAACGGCCTCGAATCACTGGCGTGCGCTTTCCCAGCACCTGCGTAACTTTCCCCGGAGCGCTGATGAAAACTCTATTGTTTGCATCCTTGCTAGATTGGTGCTGCCCTAGGAGGGCCGGAGTGGCAGCGCACAGAATGGGGCCCCGAAAGGTGGCTGCAGTCGCTGTCATTAGTCGGGGTAAGAGCGCAGTAACCTCAGTCTTTCTCTGGTTGGGTAATTGTCTCGTGTGGAGCCAGACCCTAGGGAAAAGGAAGCGAGTGTTTTGGTCAGATGGGACGGTACCTCCTTTCTGACAGCAGGTGAGCGCAAGAGTGTGTGTATGTGTGTAAGGCCTGGAGATGACGAAGAAGAGGAGCAGGTGGGACACCGAGTGATTTGCGGGCAACATCCTGCAGACAGTAAGTGCAATATCCTACTTCCCAGCCCTTTGGCCAACTGTTGAGAAAGGTTGTACGGGTTGTTTAGCTGCAGTGTTTACTGGTCACTATGGCGTAGTAGCCTTTCTTCAAAATTTTTTTGAAAATTCCCTCCTACAATGTAATATCCTCAATAAAACCATTATCATACCGTCTTGCTCAGTATATTTTCACTTCCAGAAAACTGAAATATTTTGTTAATTCAGTATAGTCAACTTCCTTGTCTACAATCTACTAAATATCCAAATTCAAGGTGCTAAATAATTAACATTTTATTATAGTACAGAAAAGGAGTTTTTTTCTATAATGTATATACTCTTATGACTGTGCTACTGGCTTAGTAGTCTTCTTCCCCTTACATTAGGCTTTCCTGTCCACCCCTATGCTGCAGTTGCTCTTCCCAAATTCCAAAGAAACTTTTTCTAAACTCATTTTACTAAATCTCTCTGCAACATTTCACCCTGTTGACCATTCTCACTTTCTTGAAACAAGTTCCTTTCTTGATACTGAAGTATGATTCTTTAGTCTTCTTCCAGCCTTCCCTTTCTAAAGCAGATACAAGATCATGTCACTCCTTTGCTTAAAAATCTTTGATGTCTCTCTCCCCTTGTCTTACCTCTTGTCTGTCAGTTTGTTGTACTTAGGTGGCTTGCATGTTGCTGTGAGACTGGAGGCTATGTCGCCAGTATCTCGAATACCAGTAGGGTCATCCATGGTGGCAAAGTTTCAACAGAGCTTCCAAACTAAGACAGACTGGGAAAAAGGCAGGGCAATCCACTTCTGAAAGAATTGGGAAGTGAAAAACTTTGCAGATAGCGGTGAAACACCTTACAGATAGCAGTGAAACACTGTGTGATATGTTACTGGAAAACTTTATGAATGGCCCTGAAACTTTGTCTGATATAGTGCTGAAGAAATTGGAAGGCATCTAAAGGTTGGAAAGCACTCAAAATTCGACTAAGGAAGAGCTGCCTTCTCATAGTAGAGTCCACCTTAATGGAGTGAAGGTTTTGGGACCTTCATTTGCTAATGGGGCATGATTCAAAATGGGAAAAAAAAGATTAGCTACAAACATTTATTAATAATCAGAACATGCAATGTACAAAGTATGAATCCAGGAAAATTGGAAGTTGTCAAAAATGAAATGGAACACATAAAGATCTATATTCTAGGCATTAGGGAGATGAAATGGACTGGTACTGGCCATTTTGAATCAGACAATCATGTGATCTACTGTGCCAGGAATGACAAATTGAAGAATGACATTACATTCATCATCAAAAAGAACATTTCAAGATCTAATCTGAAGTACAGTGCTGTCAGTGACAGTAATATCCACATGC